GCCCGGTGTGCTGCCTAAAGCCGGCGTCTGTAAACCCCGTGAGCCTGCCATGCTTACCCTGCCCTGCAGAAGGCAAGACTTCAGACAGGGAGGCCATACCAGGCACAGAGAAGGCAGAGGGCGCCCAAAGCTGCTGCCTGGGTGACCCTCAAGGGTCAGAAATGCTCCCCACTTCCACTTGCCTCATAGCAGGCACTCAATAAATACTATTGCTTCATCTGGGCTGGGCACTTTAAGTGCACAATTTCATTTCACCTTCACAGCCACCCCATGAGGTAGGTTCTATGATTGTCTTCATTTTACAGATGAGAAAACTGAGGTCCGCAGCTGGATGCAAAGCCAAGCTAGTCTAGATCCAAAGCCTGAGTTTTTATACTCACACAATACGCCACCTCTCCTCACCTTCAAGCCCCAGGTGTTCTAGTTCTGGGGTGGGGCAGAAGACAGGGAACGGTACTTACCAGGAGCCAGCTGCTGGACAGAGTGGACAAAGGAAGGAATGAGTTACTGGTGGTAGGCGGTCCACAGGTGGTCCAAGGATAAATGGAGAGAAGGACCAGGCAGACTGTCCTCTGAATGGTCCCAGGCTCTACCCAGCCCCGGGCTTTATTCCCTAGGTGCTTCTGGGCAGCCAATGGGGCCCCAGGGCTGGCCACACCCCTGCTGGACCCGCCCCCCTGGCCAGAGCCCAACAGGGCTTCTAGAAGGGGAGAGGGCAGCTTCCTCCTGTCTCCCCTTTCCCAGGTCTTCTTGGCACCTCCCCTTCCCCATCCTCAATTTCTTCACTTGCGAATGGGGATGATACCTCACCAGGACCGTTAGGAGGAGGATGTGAGGTTATGCGTGGAAGGTCCCTAGCATGTGCCTGACACACCGAAGGTGCCCAAGAAACACCAGAATAAATAATAAATAATAATAAACCCAGAATGTCGAACAGCCACTGAGCCCTTGCTGTTGCTGTGAGCCGCTGGGGTGAAGCCGACTTATAGGACAGAGTGGAACTGACCCGGAGGGTTTCCCAGGCTGTAATCCTTATGGAAGCAGGTCACCGGGTCTTTTCTCTCATGGAGCCACTCCACTGGTGGATTCAAACCATCCACCTTTCAGTTAGCACCTGAGCGTTTAACCATTGTGTCACCAGGACCCCTTGTGGAGCCCTTTCTTCTTCTTGTTATGTGCTGTCAAGTTGATTCCAACTCACAGAAAGTGCTAAACCACAGGAGGAGGGGGTGCCATCATTATCCCCATCTTCCAGACAGGGAAACAGAGGCAGGAGG